GGCAGGGCGATGGTGTTTTCTGTTTTTGTAGTTAGACATTCAGCAACCCTATGCCCCAGCCAGTGTAACGATAATCTGCATCATACCTAGATACCATCTCTAGGTGCTCATGCTTCATGAAATGCATTTCTTTGTCTTTATATCCCACCCTGATATCAAGTGGTAGGAAGTTCTACCACCTGCAAGGGTGAGGAACTCTCGTGGGCCATTCTCTATTCCACCCTGTATCTCAGCTAACTAGGGATATTAGTTAGGAGCTCCTGCATGGAGTGAGGAATATGGGTATGTGACTGGCACAGTTCAGATGCCCCCAAAACCTCTCCTTTCTGCAGCAAGATAGAGAACCTGGCACATGCTTGTCACTTGTGCATCAAGTTGTAGCTCTCCTCTGGCTCCTCGGGTGCAATTTTCCCTATGTCTTCATTGGAGTGCCCTTTATCTGTGCACCACAAAGTCATGAGACCTCTTGGACATATCCATTTAGGAGGACGATGCTCTGCAACTCTCATGTTCCAGGCCATTTGTCCTTGCCTTCATGGAGTAGTGAGTTGTGTCTGGGATTCTCTGCTTGGTATCTCCATCTAATAACCTCACTATGAACTTACAACCTGCATTCCTATTCCTGTATTCTTCATTTGGTGTTGCCTATAAACATGCAGCCTCCTCCCAGGCACTCCTGAATGGCTTCAGAGTAGCCATGCAAGTTGCTCCTTGCCTCAGTTTCCCTCTTCATTCGTCACATAAACTCAATACACTTTTCCCATCTCTAACCTCGATCCAGTCCTTGTAGCTGGGGTCTTGCTCTTCCCTGTTTTCTTCAGAATGTAGGATTCCAGTTCCTGCCTGGAGACATCAGCAAGATCACCCAGCATTCAGCCCTTTTTGGCCATGGCTTTCTGCCCTGGGGAACTTTTGGGTGACCACCTGACAGCCTTCACCATTCCAATCTGGCAAATTCACTGCTCACCTCTTCAGGGGTATCCCATCTCTGAAGCACTCAGCCCAGTTCTTCCATTGAGCTCCTTTTACTCTCTGGATAATCCCCCCTCTTAGGATGTGGGATCTGCATGCAGGGCAGTCCTTACCAGTATGCACCTGAAAAAGTGGGGCACCATTGGGTCTTTTAATATCCACCTTCTGGCTCTGTTTCCTGGGAGGATCTAGTTAACCTAAAAGTGAAGAAGCCCGCCAGACCTATTAGCAGAACATCCAACCCGTGAAAGAACCATTCAAGGGTAATGAAACCATTTAACAGGCATTTGCCAGCCCCAGGTATATACTGTCAGTGACTGAATTTACTGCGTTAGTCAACAGGACCGTCGTTTAAAAATTCCTCTAAAATATTTCATTAGTCTGTTGCTGAAGATTATAAAATCACAGCTCTAAAAAATCATCATCCCTACCTCCCCGGGCTCTCATCGGGGAAATGGGCACCAGTTGACAGTACTGCATTGGGCCCCGTACATCCTAAGGACACGCCTGTCTGCATACTAATGTTCTCTCTGGATTCTGGACATTGAACTCTCATTTACAGCTCTCAGGAGTGTCCCTCCACCCCCTCATTACACCAAACTAGAGTGCACCTGGATTGCAATGGGAATGCTGAACCTGATTTCATGCAATGGAGCAGCTGTCCTTTTTCATCCTCTACCCTAATTCCTGTGGGCCCTTCCTCCACTGCCTCCTAAAATTCAAACAGGCCAACATCATTCATAATAAAAAGATTAGCTCCCATCCAGCACTTTTATCAGTTGATCTCAAAGCACCTCACAATCTGCAGTGTGATTCCCCTCACACATGTATGGGAGGTAAGGGAGATACTGACAGGCAAAATGGAACCTGAGATCTTTGGAGCTTAGTGCATGAACCAAAAGCCAGCTGGTTCTCAGCTAAGGCTGTAGAACAGATTCATTATTCTCTCTGTAAGTGATCTCGGTGGCACTAGATGGTACAGTACATTACACCCAGTAAGTATGAAGGTTACAACTATTATCCCCATTTTACATCTGGGGAACTGAGGCATGGACAGGCTGAATGGCTCACCCAATATTATAAAGCAGGGGTGGGGAATCTTTTTTGGGTTGGGAGCCAGAGGCTACTGGAGTGCCAGCACGGACTCCCCAATGCTGGGAGAGGGGGCCTAAGCCTCAGGGGCCAGATCCAGGCACCCAGGGACCACATCTAGCCCCCGGGCCTTACGTTCCCAACCCCTGTTATAAAGGAAGCCTCTAGTGGCATAGGGACTTGAGCACAGGTCTCCAAAATCCTACGTTTGTAGCCTAACCACTAACCCAAGCTTTCTCATTCACAACTATTAAAGTTACAAACTCTTTGGGGGGGGAATCACCCAAGAATTAAAGTACAGTGAACACTTTCATTAGGTATATATTGATCTTTAAACAAATAACTCTACCCTTGTTTTGCATGCTTTACAGGATATGATTCTAAGTTACCAGAACTGTGTGATCACTGGACTTAGTCAATATAGGATTTTTGCCAAACTGCAGTTAGTAATTCCCTTTCAAACCCATTCTTTGTTGACTAAAGCAAGGGTATTGTTTGTTTGTTTGGTGTTTGCTATTTTAATATTTTTGCAATCTTTAGTCTTTAACTGTAACACTGATAGGTTGCTCTGGCCAGCACTGACCACAGCAAGTTAAACCCCTGTAGTTCATGGTATCCCTTTTCTTGTGCTGTGCCTTAATTTTACACTTGTATGAAAACATAGCTGACATTTCCTTATTAGAACAAAGAATTTAATAATTTACTAAAGGGTGAGTGGGGACATCAAGGTCACATTTCCAAATATCTTTTTCACACCCCAAAGTGTTGGGTGGAATTTCCACAGCTTGTCTACAGCCTGATCACAGCACTTGGGTTTGACTTCACACCAAACATCCTGTTTGTGTGTCTCAGTATATTGGGTGCAGTTGCTGTGTGATCAAGTTCTCCACTTATCCAGTCACTACCCACTGATCAGCTAAGAGTCCGTGTAATTTCTTCTCCTACCATAAAGTGGGGCTGTGTCTAGACTGGCCAGTTTTTCCGGAAAATCAGTCGCTTTTCCGGAAAAACTTGCCAGCTGTCTACACTGGCCGCTTGAATTTCCGCAAAAGCACTGACTTCCTACTGTAAGAAATCAGTGCTTTTTGCGGAAATACTATGTTGCTCCCGTTCGGGCAAAAGTCCCTTTTGTGCAAAGCTTTTGCGCAAAAGGGCCAGTGGAGACAGCTGAGATTTGTTTTGCGCAAAAAAGCACTGATCGCAAAAATGGCGATCGGGGCTTTTTTGCGCAAAAGCATGTCTAGATTGGCCACGGACGCTTTTCCGCAAAAGTGCTTTTGTGGAAAAGCGTCTGTGCCAATCTAGACGCTCTTTTCCGCAAATGCTTTTAACGAAAAACTTTTCTGTTAAAAGCATTTCCGGAAAATCATGCCAGTCTAGACGTAGCCTGGGTGTTTGACTAGTGGTAGTTGAAGGAGCCAATGAGCAATTGCAGCACATGTGAATGCATGATACCCTGATCAGAAGCCTTGTAGGGGAGCCTTTTTGGTCCTAGTTTGGGGCTGAGTAGAGTATATCTGCTGCTGATTGTTGTCTAGTGGGGGCAAAAAGGATGAATGAGGGTTGAACATGGAAAGGGAGAATGGAAATTGTATTTCGGAAGTGACCCAAAGGAGGGCCAAAGTAGGTTGCATGACACAAAGGGGATCCAAGAGAAAAATGGTGTGAGGTAGAAATTGACCTGGTGGGAGAAAGAAGGGACTGATTGTCACAAAGAGGTAAAAGGTAGAGGAGGATAGGATAAGGGGAAAGAAAAGTTAAAACTTAAGCAAAACAGACCCTGGAAACAGAAGAAGGGATGGGGGCAAAATAAGAGCCATAGTAGGTCACCTTCATCTGTGGTTATTCTACTAAAACCTTTTAGTTAAAGCAGAGAAGAATTTGGTCCACTAAGTTTTTGTTTTAAAACAAATTGCTGACCAGGGTGACCCTGCTGTTTGATTTTTCCAGGAATAGTGTCAAACTGGATCTCTGAAAATGGCTATCCTAAGAACGTGTGTGATGTGAGAGGCAATATAGTATAGTCCTAAACATGACATATAAATTCAAGGAGATACCCTGGACAGGGAAAGAAGTGAGTTCCCTGACTGAGCAGTGAGTCAGATTGGAATGGTGAAGGCAGTCAGGAAGTCACCACAAACTTCCCCGGGCCAGAGAGCCAGGGCCAGAAATGGTCAAAGGCCGACAGCCATAAATCTGATGACAGATATTTCCATTCAGCCCATTTTCTCTATTGCAAAAGCATAGCTAACATGCTGAGTAACTTCTTTACTGTGTATGCCAGAATGGATGACAAACAGCTGTGGAAGTGGCTCCCAGGATCTAATTCCTTAGCCTTCCATATTGCAGCAGACATGGTCATGAGCTGGTTGTGTGGCTTGTCTAGTTAATAGCACATTTTAAAGAATTCTGAGCCGTATGTGATGTGCAGAAGGCAGCCCTACCTTGGGGGCACAATTGTCACTGGCAGCTCCTTGGTTGTCAGTGCTGTTTAACAGTAGCTATCACTATTAGTAATACATTTATTCTACTGCAGCGGGAGCACTGTGAACCGCTTCTCCGATTGTGAGTTTGACAGATCCACTGGCTGTTGCTCAGGGACCCCCCTGAAGATGCTTGATAGATGCTGATTTAACACTTCTAGGCAGACAGCCACTCCAGCAGTCCACTTACATCTATTCTTGACAACAATTTGCATTTATCCAGTGGTAGTGGGAAAGTATAGTGATGCACTGAGCGACATCACTGAGCAATGGGACATCACCTTTGACAGTCTGAGCAGATTGCACATTATTTTCAAAGACCTGTGACTTAGTTCATTTTTAAACTTTTGTGAAACAATCTGCCAGTCTGACCACTGACGACAGTTTCTGGGATTCTTCTACAGTTTTCCTGTTACCTTAGCACTCGCCACAAAGATATTTACCCTGAATAATAGGCTGCAGATTACAAAATATGCACACCTGTTATTTGTATGACTAATCAGGGTGTTTATTATAATAAACTGGAGAAAATGTCAGCTGTTGATCATTCCTATAGTTTTGGTTAAATATATCTTGATTTGGATATCAAGCTTTTAGAAAGAAGAGAAGAGTGAAAATATTCATAACTTTTGAAATGTTCTTTCAAGCCTAAATCCACAGTTGCAGGAAAGACAAACCATCTGACTGCAGTGTTTATTAAACCAGGAACTGTGAAAACAAGTGGAGCCAGATTTTATGGTCTGCCCTACCCCATTCAGGTTTCTCATAAAACCCCATAAGGATGGAATTTAGCCCTATCTCCTTTGCTGGGATACCCTCCATGTAAGGGGAGTCTCTCATGGGTGTGGTCATGTTAGCCAGCTCCCAAGCCAACCTTCCTGGAGCCCTCTCTCAATTGGCTTTGATGGGAAGTCAAGAGGTAGGTAGATGTAGTGGCCAAAAGCTGTGCCCTGGCTATATTAAGTTGGAACCCAGTCCTTTGCCTGCTGGTGCAAGTTAGAGCAGTTCTCAGGCAAAAAGATTGGCTCCTTGAAGCCACCCCAGTGTTCTGCACAGGATCTGGCTCACAGTAATATTATTTGTTAACTTTGTTGCAGCAGAAGCTGTAGAATTAGAAAAAAACATAGGCAAACTAGATTAGCAAAGAGTTTCAATTCATTTGAAGCAAAATACAGGACTATTACTATTACAATTCATTTGAAGTGTACGTAATGCCTATGACGCTTTCTGATGCAAGCTTTGAAATATGGATTCAACTGTTTTATGCTCAAAAATGTATGTGTGGCAATGAAACCCCAAAGCTGCAAGTACAGAAATATCAGTGCTCACCACAATTTTGTTTGGCCATTTGCAGATGTGGGATTTTGCACAAAGAGTAAGTGTAGCATTCTGGTTACACTTTTGAATATTTGATCCTTTGAGTTTAACTCTTTATAATAAGTATGAGGATTTACCAAGAGGAAGGAAGGGAATCTGCTAGTGGGTTATATTAATAATTTCATCCCAGTAGCATGAAATGTTGGACCAGTTTGTGGAAAGATGGAACGATTTAAATCTAACTTTAACATATGGTCTGCAGAGAGAGTGTCAGCATATTTGCCAGTTTGAAACCTACATATAGCAGTGTCAAGGCTGTTCCCCAGTCTTCCAGGCCCCAACTTTCTGCACTCAAAGTGCCAAAAATTTCAGCTAACTGAATGAATGAGATGTCCAGAAAATGGACTCTCTGTCCCCAACCCCCATTCTCACAAGCAAAAATTAATTTAGTAGCACAAGGATTTTTTGGAGTACAACTAAGGGTGTGTCTAGACTACAGGGGTTTGTCAACAAAAGTGGACTTTTGTCGACAAAACTATACCTGCATCTACACTGCCGCTGAGTTCTGTCGACATAACGTTGACAGAACTCAGCAGTTTTGTCGACGGCTGTAAACCTCATTCTATGAGGAATAACGCCTTTTGTCGACAGAGTTCTGTCGACAGAAGGCATTATTGCATCTACACTGTTCTTTGCGTCTAAACTGTCATGTCGACAAAGCAGCTTGCTTTGTTGACAGACCTGGATGTCGTCTAGATGCTCTTTGTTGACAGAAGCTTTGTCAACAGTATCTGTCGACAAAACTTCTGTCAACAAAAGCCTGTAATCTAGACGTACCCTAAGAGAGGTCTTGGACAAAGGCCGCAACATGGAGAATAAGGGGTTCTTTGTAACCCTTCTGCCTAATGAAGGGCTAGGTTCACTATCACACACACAGGCACCTGTAAGAGGCAATACTTCACTCTCAAGTGCTGAGTCTGGATATAGCAAAGAAAACGTTTAATATAAAGGAACCCAGCATTAACATGGGAAAACACCACAGCCACGAAGGCATATGACCATGTGAAATTACCCTAACAATGCTTGATACTGAATGCTGCCGTGCCGTTCACTCTGCTGCTACTGTTCACTCTACCACCACACTGCTCTTGCTGTCTCTCTGCTGTGACACCATGTTCTGAGGAGCCCCTACTTGACCCAGTTCTCAGCAGGGCCGTTCCTAGAAAGGGTGCGGGGCCTGGGGCAATCCCTCCAGGCACACGGCACGGGACAACTCCCAGCACAGGCCTCGCCCAACTCTGCCCCCACTCCACACCTTCCCTCTTCTTCCCATCACAAGGAAGCCAAGCACAGTGGGCCTGGTGAGGGTGGCAGGGCAGACTGGAGCAGGCTGCTGGATTGCTGTGGCTCCTGCTGCTGAGTGCGGGGGTGGGGGAGAGCAACCCCTGCTGCTGCCTTGCACCAGGCCCCCAGGTAATTCCCTAGATCCATCCATAGAATGGTTGAGGCAGATGCCATGAGCCACCCAGTGATTTCAGGGGGTAGTGGGGCACCTTGCTGCTAGTGCAGGCTGTTTCATTGCAACTGTCTCACAGCAGGTTGCCAGTGGCTTCCATTCTAGTAATCACTGAATAAAACAAGGACTCTCTCCAGTGGGTCTGATCAGCTCTGTCTTCAAACAGTGAAAAGAGGAGGGTCAAATGGTAGCTAGGACTCCTTCGACAGAGCCCCCACCACCCTGTAGGAACAGCTCGCTTGCTCTCTCTCTCTCTCTGAGATTTGGCATCCCAGCAGATTAAGGAGTCCCTCAGTCAGGAAAGACTAAGTACAGTTCCACTGTCCTTCACTCATAAAAATCAAGATAACATTTCATCACTCTGGCATTCAGCAACTAAAGTGACCTGTAACCCACTACCAGCCAAAACTGATCATTTTGCAAAGCCGCACTCTCTGCTGTCTACCTAAGCTCTTTGGGTGTATTTATGCAAATATGGTCTGTTCCTGAAGTCTTTTCCTCCCAGCTAGGCCTGCAGATGGGGGAGCAGGAGATACAAAGGGAGCAATTGCCCCAGGGCCTCGCGATTCCAAAGGAATCAGCACAAAGCATGCTCCAGATATGCCATATGCTCTGGCAGGCTCTGAGGGCTGGCAAGGGGCATTGCACTATTTGGGTAGCACTTGGAGCTGACTGCCCCAGCCCCACCCCTTCTGGCTGAGGCCATGCACCTTCTAGGAGGACAGAGCTGCTCCCCCTCCCCCTACATTGGCCTGTTGGCTCTCCTGCCCCTAATTCATAGATGTCAGGAGAGCTCATGTGGCCCCTGATTACATCTTCATTATGTGCATCATGAGTGACGTATGCATACTCCTTGGTTACAACCAGTTTCTTCAGTGCCTCAGACAGAATTATATTCCTCTGAAGTTGTAAAGCAAGAAACATACGTTTCTAATGGATCTCAGATGTAGCAAAGTCGCTTCAGTTGATCTGACATGCCTAGAAAAAGGAAAGTACTATGAACTGTAGGATATGCGCAGTCAGCTTTCTCTTTCTTCATGTCTATTTCACTAGTGCCATTCCACTACAGTCTAGCTCAGGGCAAGTATTTTTAAAGCTGGTTGCCTGCGGGGGAGGATTTGTTTCAGATAACCAACGGACTATCTGCTCACTTCAGAGTGGGAAGACATAAACAAGAAGGAATTCCTGGCCAAAAAAAAAAGAGAGAGAAAGAGAGAGAGAGGTTGAATCCAATAATAAACATACCCACAAAAATCACAGTCTAACCAAGAAACTAGCTGTTTCTGAAACCTCAGAAACAGAGACTTTTCAAGTAAGCATTTTTCTATTAGGAAGGGGTGGTACAATAATAACAAAGGGTGCTTCTACACAGCAGCACTAGATCAAAATAAGCAACGCAATTGAGCTAGGAAAATGGTGTAGCTTATTTTGAGTTTATTTCAAGATAGTCTAGCAAGCCCATTATTTCAATTGCATTTCAGAATATTGGAGGTATCATAAAACAGCACCACTGTCTAGACATAATCAAAGTGAAATAATAAAGGATAAATTTGGGATATCCACGAGGAACATTTCAATACAATGACATCTATAGGCTGTGTATTAGTCCCACTGTGTCTATGGGAAAGATTGCTAGCTTCTGCTTTAACCATGAAGGCTACATCTACATTGGCAAGATTTTGCACAAATACTTTTAACGCAAGAGTTTTTGCATTAAAGTATTTGCGCAAGAGAGCGTCTACACTGGCATGTGCTTTTGTGCAAGAGATGTGGATGCTCTCTTGTGCAAGAAAGCTCTGATGGCCATTTTAGCCATCGGGCTTTCTTGCGCAAGAAATTCATGTTGCCTGTCTACACTGGCCTCTTGCGCAAGAACAGTTGCGCAAGAGGGCTTATTCCTGAGTGGGAGCATCATAGTTCTTGCGCAAGAAGCCCTGATTTCATACATTAGAATGTCAGTGTTCTTGCGCAGTGTAGACAGGCAGCATGTTTTTGCACAAAAGTGGCCGCTTTGACGCAAGATCGCGCCAATGTAGACACAGCCATAGAGTGTGTATCATTTTAGTCTGCCTGATGTTCAAAAAGAGATTGAGCCAATATACAGATTTTTTTTTCTCCCTGAAGTATTTAAAAATGGAAACATTTTAACTTCTTAGAGCATTGGTCCAGAATATGAACTAATAGGCTGCAAATTTCCATTAAAAATAATCAAAGCCATTTTAGAGTAATGGGACTACAAATTAACAGCTAAAAAAAGTAACCTGTTTGTACTCTTAACCTTTGAAAAACAGCAAATAGATGCCCTCTCCACCAGTACAAATGTTTACACCCACCTCCCAACAAGTCTGATAGTGACTGCAAAATATCCATGCAATTATGTGTGTTATTATTCTTCAGAGTGTTCAAGTTTGAAAATAACATACCTTTACTAGGTTATTTTCCCTTTTCTGGCTTGTCAAAAATCTCCTGTGTGATATAATCAGCACATTAGGTATATAGTATTTGCAAATTTTCTTGTGCTCTTTGTTAGCTGGATGGTCTCCTCTGAGACTATGTCTACACTGGGAAGGTTTGGGGACAAAAGTGCTGTCAACATGCAAAAGCTGCCAAAAGCAAAAATCAGTCAAACCAGTTTTTCTGCCTCCCCTTGTCGACATCTCATGGCCACATTGCTAGCACCTGTGACACATAAGAGCAAAGCAATGTGTGGGAAGGCAGAGCTGATCCCTGTGCCTTTTGGGATTCCCTTATAGCTCTGTGAGCTCTCTGTACTGAGGAATGTCAAAGCAGCACAGAAATCTCTCCGCCCTTCCCACTGTAGCAGCAGTGTGCCTGTCACTGTATTCCTAGTGCAGGGAAGAATAGAAGCTCTCCAATGATTTGTTCTTTGTTCCCAAAATGAAGCAGCTCAGTCAGCTGTCAGATACTTCCCAAAGTTTTGAAAGGGGTGGAGCACATGCCTGCAGGGTAGCAGAAATCACAAAACACTGAACACAGCCATCAGCGCAGGCACTGTGGGATACTGATGGAAGCCAGTTCTTTTGACAAAAGAAACAGCAGAGTCCACACTGGTTCTTTCTTGACAATAAAAAGAGGGGAAAAGACAAAAATCTCTCACAGAGGTGGAAGGTTTTTGTCACCAAAACTGTGTTGGGAGTTAATTTGAGATGCCATGATAGCCAATGCAATGGACAGTGCGACATGGCTAAACAGGCTTTGCCTGCTAAAGGACTAATTAGCATACCATCTCAAGGTTTGCACTCAGCACCACTCATCCATTGGCTGCACTCAGCACCAAGCAGAATTGCACACGGCACCATTCCCATTTTCCCGTCAAACAAACTTTATAAGTCTGCTGCTTTGGGGGCTCTTGTTCTTTGTTGATCATCACTATCCCTCGTGGTCAGTGGTGTGGTGGGAAGATTTGGGTCTCTGTGGTGTTCCTCAGTGCTAGCTCTAGTGAAGGCTGGGTGAAGCATTTGAGTTACACCAACTAGAGCCTGTTGAATCTCACCTTCCCCACGGAGAACCATCTTAGGCATCTTCTACCTCATCAACCGAGTTTGTGGTGAATACCCAGATGAGAAAGAGTAGAGGAGAAGCCTTCAGGACGGGCTCAGCTGCTTGTTGCGAAAGCTCAAGGCTGGAACTGAGAACTGTTTTCTTGTCCACTATTAACTTGTTGACTTAATCAGCGTGGGATTACCTAGAGTTCCTCCCGAAAAGCTACTAGTTAGCTCTAGGGTTGTAGATCCTAGGCATCACTTACCTCACCATCAACTGCAAAGTATTTCTTTATTGTACTGGGATTATTCTTTATTCTTGTATTTATTTGGGGTGTGGATGGATGTGTTCAATATCAAGCGTTTGGGGCTGTGTTTCTAAATTTACAGTATACTTACCTTTGATTTAAACATATCTGGTCTCTGGTTATTCATTCAATTGCCAGTGATAGAGATATGGAGTGCCAGACGGGTCTCACTTCTGGGGCAAAGGCATGTAACACCATTCAGAACCTCAATCTACTAAATTGTTCAAGTTACTATGTCTCTCAAGTAACAGAGTGTGGGTGTTTTCCTCGACAAAAGTGCCATTGGATTGTAAATGCTTTCACTGTTTTGTCAACAAAAGATACGTTTTGGTGACAAAACATGCCAGGGTAGACCAGGTCTAAGACATCCACACTACAATGCTGGCTCTGCAAGAAAAAGAAGAAAAAAGTCAAGATATATTGCTTTTGCATTGGTCTTTTTTTTTCCTGTTAAAAACAAAAATAAACTTGGGGAAAGACAGGAATTTTTTAAAAAATGAAATCCAGAAGACATTTACTACCAGACTATGAAATAGATTATAAAATAGGATAACAATTTGGACCTAAACAACTGTATATACTCATTCATTAGTTTGTTAGTTTATGTCGACCCACCCTAAGATGAATAGTTAAAAAGAACAAGCCAATGGGGGCCAATGGCCTTTTCATAAGCCAATTCTATATTTCAGAGGTTGGCAAACTTCGGTTGCCGATTTGTCAGGGTAAGCTACTGGCTCATTGGGACATTTTGTTTACCTGGAGCCTCTGCAGGCATGGAGCCCTATAGCTCTCGGTGTCTGATTCACTGTTCCTGGCCAATAGGAGCAGCGAGAAGTGGCAGCCAGCAGGTACCTTGGCCTGTGCTGTTTCCAGCAGTTCCCAATGGCCAAGAATAGTGAATCACAGGCACTGGGAGCTGAGGGACTCCATCCCTGTGTCCATCCCTGTGGACACTCCAGGTACACAAATGTCACGGCATACCAGTGGCTTCCCCTGATGGGCTGGGTACTGAAGTTTTCCAACCTTTGATCTACAATGACAACGTAGACCTGTTGATAAGCCGACACCTACTCTTTGAGCCACTTTTTTACCAAAAAAAATTCAGCTTATCAACGGGTATATATGATATCTGACAGTTCTTCAATTAAAAATAAAACTAGGAGAAATCATTCAACCAATAACCATGTAAATAGTGGAATTTCTATAGGGCAAAAGTTCTCACTTGGCAATGTTAGACTCAAATTTCAAACCCCTAGTTCCCACTTTCCAAACCCATGTGTTTTAATGTACCTTTTATCGAAGCCCAATCCACAAACTGAAATATGCAAAAGCCCCATCAGATTTGTTGACTTATTATGGAATGTTCTTCTTCGGGTGATGTCCCTGTGGGTGCTCCTCTGTTGGTGACAGGTCATCCCCGGAACCACAGTTCAGAGTTTTTCTTAACAGCTATTAGCTGGACCGCACATTCACTGAAGGCAGCTCGTGCTGTTGGCGGTTTGCCACCATTCATATGCAATCCTGCTCCCCCTTTCAGTTCCTCGCTAACCACCCTCAATCACAGACAGAGGGGAAAAAAAAAAGAAAAGCACTGCTTAAAGCCCTGAGAACCGGGCATCGTAGAAGTGCCATCAGTGTAATGACCCCATGCCGGCTTTGGACAGGCATGATGCCTGTATACGCTGTTTGGGGGAGCCGCATACCCTCAAAAAATGTGATCACTGCCAGAGCCTTATGACAAGGGCTACAAAAGACCAGGAGCTTTGGCGCCATATGATTCTTTTCAAGTGGGCTCTGCAGGCCTCAGAAGGGTCTCAGCCCTCTTTGACTCCAGGGGATCTGTGGAAACACGGATCTGTGTCTCCCACACCTCACAAATATCTCAAGGCGAGGGTCTCCCTGGTGAGGTCGTTGTCCCTGACCACTCCCCCCCATCAAGCCAGTGGAGACTCGCCAGGCACCACAGACAACTTGGTGCCAAGAATTTTAACAAGAGTTGCTAGAATGGCACCCCATGCTCACTCCAAGCTGGATCGTTCATCGTTGGCACCAGAGAGATCATGATGGCGAACCCCGGCACTGCCGCAAGTGGCACCACAACACCCAGCACTGAGAAAGAGCGGGGAACCATCTGTCACAGCCCCACAAGTCTTCAGCACTGCCTTCTGATGTGCTAATATCAGTGCAAATGCCTCCCCCGCCAGACTCGGCAGCTGTGCCGGTGCTGCATAATCACACTGGCCAACTTGAGGGCATTCACACAGCTGATGTTGAGAATGCTCAACCTTTGCTATGCTCTCCCTATCGAGTTCCAGGCTACATTATGTCTCCGTTGTTACACAAAAATGCTGGAGTAGCTGACACATAATCAGAGGAACACCTTCTCCTCACAACACTCCTCTCCTACTACATCTTGTCATTTTCACCATTACCGAGAGGGACCTTACCACCCACAGTGGTACCCTGACTGACATTTTTCACCTCCCAATTGTCTGCCCCATTATCCACCCCAGTGGGCCCCATGGGACTATTGGAGACCTTGCAGATGCCACTCTACAGGCCCATCTGTGTCACCAAAGAGGCTTCCACCAGCCTCCCTATCCCATACCCTTCTGAATACCGCTGAATCCGAAGACAACAAGGAGGATCAATTCTCAATGAGCACATTGTTACACGAGCCCCGTAGCTTTCCTCGAGGAAAAGTTCATCCTTATCTCCTGATGAGGCAGTAATACCTGAAGATACCCATTCTACTGATGACCTGAAACAATCTCAGGAACTTTTTAAGAGGGACCACTACTCAGGAAGTTCAGATCCATGAAGTAAAGGAGAAACAGCACCGTCTCCTAAAGAACACCTATCCCTCCTCTCAGGGAAGGATTGCATTAACAATTGATGAAGCAATAATGGAGGTATCAGACACATCTTTGGTGGTGGATGCAGTGAATCAACATTCACAAGCTCCTCAACTTAGGTCAGCAACCAGTGACAAAGAATATAAATAACTAGCTCTATCTGGCAAAAAAATATATATTTCTCTGCCACCCTGCAGCTCAGAATTGCAAACTACTCTGCATTGCTAGCCAGCCATGACTTTGATGATTACTCCAAGCTTGCTGAGCTCATGGAGCACCTCCAAAAGATCCATCCTCAGGACAATAATTTGTGAGAGGCACACCATCGCCTGCACAGCACTACTATCAGCAATAGATAGTAGCTCACCAGCAGTGGTGAGGAGAGCCTCCTGGTTGCATGTAGGAGGTGTGCTCAGGGAGCTTCAAAGAAAGGTGGAGGATCTCCCTTTTGATAAACAAAAGCTGTTTGCTGCTAATACAGACAAGATCCTGCATAGCAATAAAAACTCTCACACCCTCAGCATGTACACGCCACCATACCAGCAAAAGACTTATCTGCCATACGACAGGAACAAAGACACTTACTAGAACTGACCACAGCATAGACCACATGACTAATAAATCCAGACAGCAGCCTCAGAGGAAGCGTCAACCTCCCTCTCTGATCTTTCAATATATTTTTTATTTCTTATTAATAAATAGCCTATTATGGGAAAGGAAACTAATTTGGACTCTGACCCTTATGTCCTGGACATAAGTTGAATCATGATCAAAGCAAAAATGTTTCCATCCTATTACCTGCCATAGCCACCTCCTCCATTTAGCCTTTCAGATTCATAAGATATTGGAGTAGGGACTGCCATTTGCTATATGTTTGTGCAGCACCTAGCACAATGGGGTCCTAGCCTGGTTAGCCTCTAGTCTAGAGCTAGTACTGCAATAGTAATATTCAGGAGTGCTAACAGTGCTGCTCTGCACAGTCATACCACTCTAGTTTCCCTGTCTCATGAAGGGCAGTCATGACATGTTAGCAACATATTTAGCTTGCATTCCTTCTAAACTTCCCTAGAGTCCTGGGTGCTCTAGTGGAGCTAAAATAGTTCATTATCCGCCAGGGGAGAGAGGGAACGGAAGAAAATGCCAGAATCCCTTACTCTTCCCCGACCCCATGCAGTCTCCTCTCCTAGGTAGCAAAGAATGAGCGGAAACAGGTGGTTGTGGGGCTCTCTAGAGCAGGGCACGCCACGCCCCCTCCCGTTAGCTGGAGGGAGGGCTGCCTTGTTAAAATGAAACCAGCCCCTAGTAATCTTCCCCCTCCTGAAATCCCTTCTCATTTATTCCCTGCTGCTGGTGGAAATACCTCTGCGAGTCTTGTTTGGGTCTTTGCTTCAGTCTCCCCTCTTAAACTCTCACCCAGTGTTTTGATTTCTTGATCAAAAGCTGAACAATACTTAACATTTTTCTTAAAAATCCTCCCTTCTCTCCCCCATCCCCTTTACTGATATTTATGCAAATTCCCTAATACAGTACCAGGAAGTAAACTGAAAACTCTCAGCCAACCCACTGAAACCAAGCGAAGTTCCTCTTCTGCTCTCTGGGGTGGCAGAGGATCGGCTTAGCTGCTCTGGACTCTCTCTCCCAGCTGTAAAATCCCGTGGTCTTCAAAAAACCAAGCGAGTAGCTTTTCCTCTTCCCGAGACTCATCAGCTGGTTTGAGTTTGAACGGCAGCCTGGCTCCTGCCCCAACTCTGTGGCTGAAGTAACTGTGGAGTTGACTTGCTGCTTCCAAAGTTTCGCATTCAGGGAAGTAAGTAAGCGTCTTTTGTCTCCTAATTTGGCAGTGGGTAGCTTGTTTGGGCGCCGGTGGCCAAGTGTAATTTCTGCGATCCTTTCCGAGCAGCGGGAAATGCAGGGAACAGCCCTGCTGGCAGGGAGCGGACTAAGGGGGCTTCCTAGCGTTTGTCAGAGGGAAGCACTGAGAGTTTCTCTCTGGGGATCAGGGGTAAGGCATCTATTTTGCAGCAGTCCTAGTTGCTATGGAAACTGTCTCCCCTCCCCCTGGATTTACCTTGCACTGCAGATCAGAGGGAACTTTCATAATAGACACTTGTTTGTCTGTTGGATCAAACAACTTATCACAGGAGCTTGGGTTTGTGCTTTGTTTATTGGCTCTCCTAACACACTGTTAGCAACACTGGGATTTGGGGGCCAGGACGTGCCCCATAGATGCTGGAACTAGAGGTGCTTCCGCACCCAGTGGTTTGAAGTGGTTTCCATTATATACAGGGTTTACGGTTTGGTTCCAATCTGCCAGCTCCGCTATACAGATTGTTCCAGCACCTCTGACCTGCCCTATTGGCATGCCAATCAGAATAGGGAAAACTCTACATACGTATTGGTATAATCTTCCTCTAGCCTCCTATCTCCCCTAAAATAAGGAGAAGCAAAGTCTTCAGGGAGGAGAAAAGCGGGGCTGATTGAGGATATTATAGTAGTATCCCTGAATTAGCTAAAGGGCGATTGATGTGGCAGGTCATGAAACCTGATCTTTCCCATTCACTGAAGTGAACTAGAAATATTAAATGAGCCATGTCTAAAGGGTACAGCCAGTTCAAAAGAGGAAGTGTGACATTAATGGGCAGCTTGTGTTTCTGCCCCTTAAGGGAATGGTTGTTTGAACCTCAGATAAAATACATACAGCACATTAGTTAAAAGGAAGTGAGAGTTCTTTTCAGACTGGTTAGCTTTTCCTCTAGCCTGGGGGAAGGGGTGTAGCTGCAGCTTAAGCTTTCCTGTATGGATGGTTAGTTTCAGCTTTTAAGAAAATACAGCAATTTATTTAAGAAGACTTAAAAAGGGATTGCATTTTGATGTTTTACTATGTTCTTCAGGGATATATTGTCTTCAGCCAGTCTTGACTATTCCTAATTAAAAACAAACAACAAAAGAGTTGGTATGCTAGAAAGAAGGTAGTATTACACAATGCATTTTTCTTAGTCACTTTCACAAGTTCAGACAATAGGCTTGGTTTAATTAAGAGGAAAAAATATGACCTTAGGGTATTCTGTATTAAACTTTGGATTTTAAACCTACAAGCATATAGTAAAGTAATTCTGGAGCATCTTCAATTTAAAACTGCTCCCTCTCAGCTAGATATTGAAGTGTGCTTCTGTGTTGGAAAAAAAAGTTGTTGTGGTGTTCATTTCTAAATAAAAAGATACTTTGTAAGCTGCCAGATCTACAAATTCAGCCTAGAATCTGAAAGCCAAGCTGGTTCTTTCTCTGTCAACATCATCAACTAAATTTTAACTCTGCAGTTAGAATGTAGTTGACACCCCCTGTTCTTTCTCATTCAGGAATGAAGCTCATTTCAGAGGTCAAAACTAGTTTTAGTCACTGAAATAAAGAGCTATGACTGAGAAGACACAGAGAACAAACAAGTTGAATTAGAAATTGCCGTTTTTACTTTCGTTTTTCACAATGGAAGAGCACTTTAGATGTTTTTCAGCCAAAAAAAACCCTAAACACTCTTCTCTCACACTCACTGCAAATCTCCCATTCCCATCCTACTCACCCAATCATCTTGAAATATTACAAATTGAGGGGGAAACTCTTTACCCTCATACAGTATGATTCCTGGGTGAGTTGGCTGTAAATGGTTGTATTGTAATATCTGACAGCAGATAAACTTTGGAACAGTGTAGTAACATTTACCAAGTGATAATATAAAAACCTGCAATTTGGAACTGTCTTAACAAAATAATTAAATTATATTGGGGAGCCCAGTTTTAACACAGAATTAACTGAATTGCTTTCATGTGAATCTTTCCTGTTCTAGTATTGGATGCAGAGCAGATGTGATGGTTTATGTTATTAAGTGGGGACTTCACATCTTCATAATAAGTAGTGACAACATTTCACCTGTGGATTGGAAAACAGTTTTCTCACTAAAAGTAGAAAGGATGAAATGAACTGAGAATACTGCCTATTAGGAGTGTATGGAAACACAGGAGACAATTAAAATTCATGGATTATTCAGCCAATAGGTCAAGAAAATGAGAAACCTATTTCAAGATTAATATTATAAAGCTGGCACTGGATAAAAATTACATAAAAGTTGAAATGTTTCTTGATTTGAGGATGTTTTTCATCAGTAAATGTTGAGATATATCTTGCTTATTACATCATTACAATATTTTGCCAATTACTGTAAATTGCTGGATGTAAAGGGGTTCCGCTTTTCCATGTACCCCTCTGGGTAAGCAAGACTCCTTGTTACAAAGACACAAACAATGGCAGAAAGGTCTTTTTTAATATTTTGATCAGTAAAATCATTCAGTGGCTGTTTTTGTAGACAATAATTTTGACTGCAATGATTAACTATCTGCTAATACTAGGCATTTTTTGCTCTATTAGCATTACAGTTTTCAGATGCGTTTCACCTGGTCCAAACTAGTGGATGGATTTTTGACACATTTTTAAATCTTTGCTTCCTGATTCTGTCTCTAGAAATGGCACACCTTGTTCGGTGACCCTCTTGCAAGTTAAACTGCAATATGCCCTTTTTATAAGGGAGACCTCTTAACCTTCCCAGGTGCTTCCGAAAATGATGGGGATACTTAAATTGTGAGACTTCTCCCTGAATTGGAAATTAATTGATGTCCCAAGATTAATTTAGGGGCTGCTGAAGGTTCTATCTCTTGGATGACACAAAACTAAGGTCTCCCTGACCATCTGTGGCCATTAAAGATCACATGGTAAAATTCTCAAGATCAGAGGCATTGCACATGATGTCCTAAGTGCACCTTGGGTAGCAGCATCTTACCTAAAATTAGCCTTAGTTTTATTAGATAATGTACTTTTCACATGGCAATGCTGTACTAGGGTTGTGGGGAGTTAAATAGCTAATCCCAGAAGTAATTGAATTTTTGGGGTGGGAAGAAGTGTCTGTTTCAGTATTTCATTTTGAGTATTGAAGTGTTCTGAGCTTCGTTGGGAGGAGAAGGTACTTGCTTTGAGCCAGATACTCACCACTGGGTGAGGTATTGTGTGGAAGGCAGCAAGGCACCTTTCCTCTCTTTTTAGGTGACTTGTATAAAGCCAGATATAATTGTAGCTCCTTTGCTTAGGGAAACTCAGGATCCGCTCCTTCATTTTTTTTCCTGTGGGAGTGGATGATGGAGCTGAACCCTTGAAGCTGGACCCGTGAAGCAAGTGAGCAGGGAGAGGGTGAATGTAAAGGAGGAGGAGGGTGTAGGATTCCTTGCAGCAGCTTCCCTGAGGTGGCATGGGTCTTTGCTGCCCCTCAGCATGAAGATATGCCTGATGTTACCAATGAGCCCCAAATCAGTGTGAGATAGTTACCAGGTACTGGCCAGCACTCTTCCTGTCCATCACACTAAGGTGTTAAACTCAGGTGGTTAGCAAGGTTGTTGGCAAGGAGCCAGAAGAACCAATGGTGATAGTGCTCAAATTTGAATTGCATCAGATACCTTGCCTGTTTTCTTTGTGTGGAAGAGTTAAACAAGGAGTTGAGAGAGACAGAATGATTTAAACCCAGGCAGGACTACCATGCTTCCAAGGAATTCGGGGCATGAAAGTGGACTAAACCCGGAAGGGATCGTGAGTAAAGAAAGGGAAACATGTATTTAGTCATAATTAGGGTATTTTTCTTTTTTTTTTGTTTGGTTTGAACAGCTGTATGTGAATCCATGCCTCCTCTCCCCCATTCACCATCTCAGAGTTGTTCCCAGAGATTTTCTCTGTTTTAATTTGTTTTACTTGGTTGCTCTGTAACACCCAGCAATCAAGTATGCTTTATCAATTTTATCTTCTGTTTTGAATTAAAATCACTTTTGTAAGGAGATTATTTGATTCTTGTGTTCTGGAAGATAACAGGAGGTCTGTCTATGTGTGTCTTCCTGCAGAGACTGAGCTGTCAGCTACCAGAGATTGCAGCTTGTTTTTCTCTTTTCTTTTTTCAAGCTCTTTTGGAGCAAAAGAGCTTGAGGTATCCCTGGGGAAGGAATTCAAGTGTTCCCTCCTGTTTTTTCAGGTTTAAATCCCTTGATGGTGGCAGCTTTTGTTTATTTCTCAGAGCCAGTGTATCTGTGACTCTGTGTGTGTGGGGGGGGAGGGGTTGTAAACAGAGCCTAGAAGCAAGGTATTTAAAGTTTCTGTGTGTCCTCACCTTAGAATCATAGAGCTGGAAGAGACCTCAGGAAGTCATCAAGTCCAGCCCCCTGCCCAAGGCAGGACCAATCCCAACCTTCTGCACTCAGAGTGCCAGAGTGGGGATCAGCCCTGACAGATGGCATTGCTATAAATGGGCTCTATCAAATTTACAATCCATTTTAGTCTATTTCAAGGTAATGAGATTTTAAAAAAATCATAATTTTCATGATTTCAATTTACAATCCATCTATTTCAAGGTAATGAGATTTTTAAAAAATCATAATTTTCATGATTTCAGCTACTTAAGTCTGAAATGTCATGGTAGTATAATTATAGGAGTCCTGACCCAAAAATGAGTGTGGGGGAGAGAGGTTGCAGTACTTCTACCCCTACTTCTGTGCTGCTGCAGGTGGCAGCACTGCCTTCAAAGCGGAACAACTGAAGTATGGTGAATGGTGGCCAAGAGCCCAGATCTGAAGGTAGCCCCACCATCACCACCAGCAAAGTATGGTATCGTCACCCTTTCTTCTGTACTGCTGATGGTGAGGCACTGTCTTCAGAGGTGGGTGCCTGGCCAACAGTCATTGCTCTGTGGCCACTGAGCTCTGAGGGTAGTGCAGAAGGGCAGCAATA